CTACCTCCGTCTGATAATTTTGTTTTTACATGTGTTTTGTGATTCCTCACTTTTCTGACTCTTGCATGAAAATTACCAGTTTCAGCCATTCATTTAAAAAAATGGGTAAGACATTACTGAAAAGTACATTACTATACAGAAGTGACTGAAATTTATTCTTCTTACTTCAGAGGCATTCCTTCAACCTACTTTGTTAAATATTTGGAAGATTTAATTCCTTAGTCACTGTGATCAAAAAATATAGCACACGTGCTCTCTCTCATGCTCAGTGTACTTAACTCTACACTGAAATCTCTGTTTTCAGTGATTAGTGAGGGAAGTTGCTGTTTATGTGCAGAATTTGCCCTTAGAGTGCATGAAAACATAACAACAGACACTTTTTTTGGAAAATAATGCAACATTCCATTGAAGTTTAGAAGGGTGAGGAATGTAAACAAGACTGCAGAAGTCTCTGACATGTATTAAAATAACACAGTGATTGTTCTGGCTGTTTGCATTTTCTTATACATCCTCAACATGTCTCTGTCTGTCCTTTCATGTACACTTTCCATTAAAAAAAAGAATAAAATTCAGGAAGCAGTTGGACTCAGCTAAGTGAAGAACAATAAATCTGGCCACTTGGTTTATGTCTAAATACAAAACTAAGAAGTACAGCTCTGAATTAAATATCATCTATGTGGTTATTTCTTTTTAAATAAATAATAGAAAAGAAAAGATGAGAATAGCATTAGAATTCAGTTTTTATTTTAAATGAAAAAGGTAACGGTGGGGTGAGACTAGAACCCAATGTTTCTTTTGCTTAAGGCAATCAAGTGCACTTCTTTCAATGCTTGGTAGTAATGAACTCAGTGCTAGTGTGGAAATCAGACTTCACAAATTTCACATACAAACCCATGAAATATGGCCTTTTGCTAGTTCTGACACAGCATCAGACTCTTACTTGTCATTTTCAGTAGCATTTCACCTCCCCCTTTTTTTTTTTAACTCTAATGAGCTCTTAATGGAAATATTAGAATCTAATTAATTCTGCCTTAGTATTATCACTACATACAAGGGCCACTGGGCACATATATTTTTGTAAACAGAAATTTTTCTTTTCAGCCTTAAACCCCTCCCCCCCTAAAAAACCAAAATCTACAGTTAAAATTATTCAAGTAATTTTTTACAAGTCCACCTAAAATAATAATTTAAGAAATAACAAAACCAAATTATTAGCATCTTTTTTCCTGTTGTTAAACTATTAAATCATCATGAAGCTTTAGGAAGTAGTTAGGTCTCTCTCTCTCTCTCTGAAAAACAGTAATCTAAATTTTATGCAAGTCTTCATGAAGATGACTCTAAATCTTGAAGATCAGGTCGGTATTAAAAAGTGTGCCAAAAACTCCCAATACACAGGTACTGCTAATAGATATGGATTACAAAGAAACTTTTTTTTTGTATACAATTCTTTTTAGATCTGCAGTTTAATTTTAGGCCATGGCTACCAGTAAGCACTTTTTCACTAACCAAAATAATTGTAACAAAATATCATTATTGATTTTAAAATTGTTGGGTTCACAAAAGTTTTGACATCTAATAATATATAAAAAGTGAATTGAAGCTTTTAAAAGACTTACAATTTTGAGACACAAAAGAAACTGGGAGGTAGACAGACGTTTTGAGGATAAAGATATTTTTTTTTTGTCTAAGGCATTATGCCACTATGTGTTTAGAGCACTGGAAAGGCTGCTGATTAATCTTATTTCAATTCCAGAGTGTTGCTGCTCATACTTACGGAAGACTATCAATGCACTTTTGGTCTTTGTGACTCTGACCTTCTCTTCCCCATCTCCTTTTCTCTCTTTAGCAATACAGCTAAATGGAAGTGCTATAATAATTTCTGCCCATTGCCTATAGACAGGAATGTTCTGTTCTTGAACAGTAAGAAAATACTATAAAATAGTAGGTATTGGAGTTGGAGATATGTGCTCTTTTGGTGCATATTTTGCAAAGAATGGTAAAAAGACAGACAACATGACCCCAACAATTGCCAGCATGTACCCCCAGCCAATCTGGCACTCTCCTGCATAGTAGATGTCTGAATTCTCACAGAATCTCTTCACAGTAGCAGAGTTGAAACCAAAAGGGTAAACCAAAAGCCCAGAAGCCATTATGAACACTAGAGAGGAGAAAACAAAAAACACAGAATAATAATTAATCAAACAATTCCTTTGAAAAGACTTCTTTAGAAAGACAAATATATGTTATATTAAAATCAATGGGAAAAGTTATAGCTTAAAACTTATGATTGACTTATGATTATCTTCCTTTTCATAATTACCTCTTCCAGACAGCAGTGTCATAACATGGTAGCAAGTTGGCATTGGGATTTTTTTTCATGAGAACTCTTGCCCATTATTTCACTTCAGAAACGTTGTAATCCAAATTATGTAGCCTTTTAAAAAGTAAGATGAGTCAGATACAATGGAATCCAGAGGAGGAAGAATTCCTAAGTTTGCAGATTCCAAACCAGCTTGATTTTCTTCTCAATAGCATTTTCGTACTTGAGATAAACAATTACTTTGTTCTGCCAAACAAAAACTTCCAATGAAAGAGTTTTAATGTCCTTTTTAAGATCTTGCTTATTAGGTTCTGATAATGCAAGCACTTGATCATTACTCTCCTTATTACAAATTCCAATTGTTTAAAAAAATCCTGCATTTGACTCAAGGATTGTGAGATGAAAAACAATACAATCTGTCTTCTTTCTATTTAGCTTTCAGCATTGGAGTCTTTTAGT